GTTTCAATAAACATTTCGTAACGCTTATCTGTTTTTGAGAAATCGTAAAAAATGTCCGACCAAGGTTTTTTATGGCTGACATAAACAACAAATATTATCCATATCGATATGAGGTAAACATCTATAAATAGACATGCCGCAGATTAATGAAGAGACTAAACAAACAGACAATCAAACAACTACAAATTAAGGTCGCAACAATAGCGATAGCAATCTATGTTAAGACGTTTTATGGTATAGAAAAGAGTCAATGAATCCAGTTGGAGTTGTGCCAACATCTACAAAACTGCGTAGTCACAAATTGATCGGTAGTGCATCAACTAGGCCACGATTTCCCCCATTAGTTTCTGGGATACGTGCCAAATTCTCTGCGTCAGTCCTTCTCAGAGCTATGAACCCACCCTCCCACAAAGCGACTCCTGCTACTCTCACAAGTAAAATATTGAGGGGTATACAATTCAGCGGCCGGTCACGGTAGCCGAGCGGTCTAAGGCATGCACTGGCTTCGCTCGCTTGGAAGCCAGGACCGTGGGTTCAAATCCCACTCAGGGCATGGATGTTTGTGCGCGTTTTTCTGTGTTTGTCTACAGGTAGAGGCCTTGCGACGAGCTGATCACTTGCCCAAGGAGTCCTACCGTATGTGTAAGAACTAGTACACCGAAGTGAAACGGAGAGTTTCATGGAGGTAGGCCTAAGCCCAAATTGGGGCTGCAGCGCCACAGGAAAAAAAAAAAATAATACAATTCAGCGAATTAGTTCTCGGTTGCTTGAAACCCCGCTGAATGTCATAATATTTTTACAGGACCTGCATAAAATCCAACGCAAGTTACCATTCAAGTAGAGCTCGTCTCTACACAATGATATTTTAATCTTCTTAATATACATTAAATAAAGAACACTATACCCAAAGGAGCCGTAGTAGCGTAGTCGGTATAGCGACTGGTTACGGGCTGGACGAATAAGGAGCCGGAGTTCGAACCCCGGTAGGGTCAAGATTTTTCTATTCTCGAAATTGTCCGGACCACCCAACCTCTTATACAATGGGTACCGGGGTCTCTTTCTCCGGGGCTAAAGCGGCAGAGGCGTGAAGCTGACCACTCACCTCCAGTTAGTGCCGAGGTCAAGAAAATGTGGATCTATACATCCACTCCGCCATACGCCTTCATGGCGTAGTGCTTAATTCGTTGAGCACAGGGAGAACTTTACCACTACACCCGAAACGTCTCGCGCTTACATTTCTATTTTCAGTTACGTCAATAACGAACGAAGCCACAATCTGCAGCAGTGTTTCTTCTGAAGCCGAGACTCGCTCAGCTCGTCAAGAAATTCTCTGTCCTTTAGGTAACTCGGAGGTTAATTACCATGTCCACAAGAGCCTGACGCTCGTCCCTATCTTGAGGCAACTAAATCAAGTCCACAACACCGTCAAACCCCATTTCCTTAAATCCACTTTAATATTACCCTCAAAGCTACACCTGCGTCTCCAACATGGATTTCCTACATCCCTCATGGGTGCGACACAATCAGCCTACGTCATGTTCCTCGAACTGATAACCGTAATAACATCTTGGGAAGACTACAAATCATGAAGCTTCTCGTTATGCAATTTTCTCCAGTCTCCTGTTAAATCCTCCCTCTCAGGTTCACACACTTTCCTCAAAGGGCTTTCGAACTTGGATCTCATTCCCAGCGGAACGTGCATGCGCACTGCAACGCGGAGGATTGTTACCTGTTACACCTACGTATAGAGGCACCCCAATAATCTTACAAAAATATTCACGAACCGCATTACAGCTGCCGAATGTCTCGTACTGATTACCTGCATTAGAAGAAACATAATGACATCTGCGACATGGAAACGGCTGTCCTGTCGCAGCCCATCGTATCATGCTGACAAGCAGATAGTGAGGAAAACAGCAACTGGTAGCAAAGCTGATCTGCAGATTTTATTTTCGAATCCATCGCAGAACCTTGTGCTGCTTCCTGTAAAACACGACGCGAGGCACTGGTTTCCAACACATTCCTGCTGGAACCCGACCAAAGTGTGCCAAAACAGAAAATCCCGATCCACAGGTTCATATTACGTTGACGGCTACGAGACGGTAGTTAAGTTAGTCTGACGTTTCAGTCGGCATAGCGACGGGTTAAGGACTGGACGGTCAGCGTTCGATTCTAGGCGGAGGCAAGAGCTTTCTTTCTTCCCCCACATCGCCCAGGTCGACTCTGGTGTCCACTCAACCTCCTATCCAATCGGTACGGAGGATCTTTCTCTGGCAGTTAAGCGGCCGGGGCGTTAAGCTGACCACTCACCTCCATCTAGTGCCGACGTCAAGAATGGTCGAGCTATACCTCTATTGCCCTATAAGTTTCCTCGGAATGGTGCTTAATCAGTTAAGCACACGGACACGTTTACTCTTACTTTCTAAACCGACGACTGTAAATTGCTGCCGGATGAAAGTCGAAGTAGGTTACATACAGCAGTATCGACGCCGTTCACCTACAGGTTTACAGAAAGTGTTGATTCTGGGCAATTTGTTCTGCAATATTGGAATACATTTTGTGTACTCTGAAGAAACAAACGGTGCATTAAAAGAGCCTTCCGAAAATTCTTCCCGATCTCACTAACTCCCCACGCGACAGCAGATTCCAATTCAGGTCGCGAGCCGTTGTTGGAAGACACTTATATCACGACCCTCCCAATCACTGTCAGCTGATATCGCCTGCCGTGAAGGATGTTCCCAGTGTCATGATGAAGTAACTGTTTCTCACCCGAAGTATACTTAATTGGGGGGTTCACACTACAGTTTCCTGCCAGTATATTCATACCTACACCTGACATGAACCCAGCTAATCAATCATCTTGTACAGGAACGAATCAATCACCTTCTTGCATTTTATACTCGTAATAAACCATCGCCTTGAAGATGGTACTTAAAAAGTAAAGCTATCCCCGTACCAGGCCGCGAAGGCCCATAGAGTTGTGGGACATTGAGGGTCCCACATTATCTAGACAATCGGCTCAAAGATGGCGGTAAGGTTGTCAGCCTTATGCGCCGACCGCGCTTTACTCCGTAGGAAAATTATTTAATTCCTGATACTCATTTCTGTTAGAGGCTGAGTCGACCCCAGGGCCATAGTGCAGCTGGAAGGATTAGGTGCTCAATGACCTCATCGGAACTTGAACCCGAGACGTTCCGGCTTTTAGCATAGCCCCTTAACCAACTACGCTACCGCGTGCCCCCGAAGATGGTACTATACACGATCACAGCCGATCGCAGTGGCCGCGCGGTCTAAGGCATGAACAGTTTTCGCTCGTTGGAACGCTGGGATCGTGGGCTCGAATCCCACGTGTGGCATTGATATCTGTTTGCATTTATTCTGTGTTTGTGCTATCCTGTGTGTGTGTGTGTGTGGGTAGTGGCGTTGCGACGGGCTGATCCCCGTCCTCGGAGTCCTACCGACTGTGTAAAATATCAAGAAACTGGAAAGCGGCCGAAGTGCAACAAAAGGGCTGTAGAGTCACTGACAAATAAACCGTTACGCGATAAGAATACCTTCAAAGTAACACTGTAATAGAGGAAGAGTTTCGTGGGTCTCAAGAGAGAGACTACCAACTAGTATTACTGTCTTCTGTGATGTGACGCCATGTAGTTTGGTAGATGGATATCGGCGTTTCGGAGGAACCTGCTTCCGCCTTCTTAAAGTGGATGGATGCAGCAAGTTCCTCAGAAACGCTGGCACCTATCTACCAAATTACACGATATGATCATAGCACAAGACACTAATCCTCACAATAATACAGGTTTACATGGATAGATGACCAATCTTCCGCACAATCCGAAGTTTCCTCGCAAAGTCAAATGGCTATACAACGTTTCCAATTAAGAAATTAGAATAAATTTACTGAATTTACATACATACCAACATACATATTATATAAGTACATCGCACCCCTTTGACTTCCATCAGAATGTGAAAAGGGCTCCAAAAGGTTCACTGAGGTCTTTAAGTAAAGTGATCATTAAAAAGGTACAGTAAAGGTAAAGCTGCCGGTCACGGTAGCCGAGCGGTCTACGGCATGCACTGTCTTCGCTCTCTTGGAAACCGGAATCGTGTATTCGAATCCCACTCAGGGCATGGAGGTTTGTGTGCGTTTTTCTGTGTTTGTCTACAGATAGAGGCCTTGCGACGAGCTGATCACTCGCCCAAGAAGTCCTACCGTATGTGTAAGATCGAGAAAAACCGAAGTGAACGGAGTTCATGGAGGTAGGGCTACGCCCAATGGGGCTGTAGTGCCAAGGGGGGGGGTAAAGCTGTTCCTGTGCTTAACTAATTAAGCACTACGCCAAGAAGGCATATGGAGGAGTGGATGTATAGATCCACATTTTGTTGACATCGGCACTAGCTGGAGGTCAGTGGTCAGCTTCACGCCCCGGCTGAAAGAGACCCCGGTTCCCATTGGATAGGAAGTAGGGTGGGCCCCAGAGCTGGTCTGGACGACTGGAGAATAGAAAATTCTTGACCCTCCCGGGACTCGAACTGCCACCACTCTGTCATAAAGCCCGTAGCCAGTCGCTATACCGACTGCGCTATCCCTGCTCCAGAAAAGTAGAGATATGAGAGTGAACCAGTGGGTAGTAGGAGGACAGGAGCGATATAGTAAGGAAACAATGACCTTTTGAGCCTATTTCGCCGACAGAGTGGGTGGAACAAAAGACAAAGAACCAATGGCAGGGAGTGGGGAGAAACAGCGCGGAGGAGGATAAGCTGAAGGGGAATGAGGCTTTAATAGGCCTGAATCGGTACCCTGAAAAGGGCACTGATCGATGGGTCTAATGACCTAGCAGGAGAAGAGCACAGGGGAACAAGGCACGCGGCTCCGAAACGTCAGTAAACTTTTACCACGCTACATGGAGTCACATCCCCTCTATATCGCCGTAAGAATCCCATATCTCCCTCCCTCCCACTGTCAGTAGTATGCCGCTGGTGCAATTCCTTACCTTTTTCGAGGGGAATCTGCGCTGTGGTGGCCCCAGCCGCTTCTGTCGCTGGAGGAGGATGTTCACCGGTCGGTGGGAGCTTCCCGGTGCGGAGTTTCCGGCTCACAGGCGCTGCTCCGGTGCTGGTGTTGTAACTCCGGGTGTTGGCACCACTGCCACTATTACTGCTACTGCTACTGCCACTGCCTCCTGTTGGTGTCACGCACGCACCCCGACCCACTCGCGACTGCAAGAACAGGACAGGTGCAAGTGACTTTACATGGAATGCCTCTTTTGATAAAGAAGTATACTCCTGACAGAAAGTACTATACACGGTTTATCAGATATATATATATATA